TATTATGTAATAGTCTTATTAACGTTATAGAGTAACAATTAGACAAAGGGAACTTTAACATCCGCGCACTTTTATGACGGTCTAGAATATTTTGCAACCTTGACAACTAAAACTGTATCCAAATATCCATTCTTGTTGTTCTTATTCTTATCTAATTTAAGTAAATAGTTAGTTTAAGCCAAACATTTACTTTTAATTAGATGGTGATAATGGTGGTGATGACGGTAGTGGTGATGATGATGGTGGTGGTGGTGATGAATGTGGTGATGGTGATGACGATGATGGTATGATGGTGATGATGATGTGAATGGTAATGATGCTGATGATAGTGGTGATCGTGATGTACAATAAAGTTTGTTGACATTAACAAAATAATCATTTAGATTTATTTATTACATATAGATAGATGGATGGCCTTACACGGATGACAAGGATTTTGATACAAGAAAAATTTTGTTAAAATATTTGTTATATGTTAAATGTTGTTAAATATTCTATTGTGAACGATAAAATGTGTGTTGTAATAATAATTTCTCATAACTGTGCAGCCTTTCTCATTTATGTTTATGGGAAAATCACTCATGTTACCACAATCTCATTCATGTGACTTAAAATATCGTTTTTTGTTGTATTTCAATTAAATAATCCTGTCATTTAATTAAAATTTTTTTAAACTTATTTGCACTTTTAAGACCTTAAAACCAATAGAAAAAAGAGTTATACAAAAATCACTCAAAAAGTGCCATTGAAATTCGGGAAGTGAAATTCACTTCATTCAGTTGTAGTCCATATGAATACACGGAATTAGACCCGCCGCGCTCCCGACCCGACACGCGCCCGACCCGCACCCGCTCTCTGTGTGTTTCATACTTTAATCTTCAAAATCTAAACGAAGTGATGCTCATATTAATGTTTGGCGTCAGAAATACCTATGTCTGCCGCCATTTCGCTCTAATGGAACAAGGAGCTACTAACTAGCTACCGTATCGTACATTGTACAATTGGAAATTGAACTTTAATTCATCATCGATGTATACTTCTGTTGCCTAAATCCGCAGCAATCATCAATAAACTGAGCCCAATTGTACAGACATTGACATATAGTCGTGTTTGGAATTCGCAAATAAAAAGTGATGTAGCTTCAAGGTAATAATATGTGTTTTCTCGCACTGTCGCACATCACTGCAATTGCTATTTTTGGGTAAGTAAAACTTCTAACAGCTTTATCGTATAGCGCTTCAGCAAACGGTGTGTATTTTCCATCTACATCATCGTTAACTGTGATAGATAACCTCTTGGTTGCAAAGATTAATTAGATGACTTTGGAACGCACATCCCATTACTGTTCGCTAAAGTAAATCGCTATCTATTTTCAAAATGAGAATAAGGAGCTTTGTTTATCCACTTTTCCATCCATTTCATAGGGTATTATTCTGAAATATGTATTTATCTAACTATAATAGTTTATGATAATTTAATATTTTTTTTTTTTTGTGCACTTGATCTCGTTATATTAGTCATCGTGTGTTGTCTGCAGGAAGAAATATCTTTCAGGAATAAGCAGAAACTTTTAATTACGTTTTTCTTTTGTTCAATGTGGTTTTTGATTTTACTATAATATTAATTTTGTTTGAACAAACAAATAAACAATAAAGAAAACGAGTATGATTAATAATAAATCTTGTTTTATTTCAACAAAATCATACAAGTAAAATACTAATTTATAGTACACGATAAACAATGAAAGCGAACGTGTTTCTATTATTATTATAAATATTTACAAAGGTTCTACGAAATATAGCGACGTCCTTTTTGAAGATATGACTGAGATATGCTTCGAATCATGATAATTGAAATTGTTATACAACCTTGTATTGACCAATAGTATTGTGGTGAAAGTATCTAATAAATTTTAAGTAAAATTTCAAACGCCGTTATGTACAAAGTTTGTGAATTACTGTGATAATAAATTATATCACTTGAAATGTTCTATATAGACCTGGATATATTTTGTACAACATTGGTAAGCGCGAAAATAACCTTGCGTTCGCCGGAGATAGGAAGACAATGTTTACGTAAATTTATGTTTACATTATGTCCCCATCACTAATGAAATTCAAGCCTTGTTTGGTATGAGTCACCAGAGCCGCATTTTTTAATAAAAATGAAATGTATAGAAAAATAAATTATACAAAGATACATCTACTAAATGCTTTATGGGTATAATCAATAAATAGACCACTTTACGTGCTTCTATTTACATTTCTTTTGTATAAATAAAAAAAGAGAATACACAATTAAATGTGCTCTATTTACAAATTTTAAATCTATATAATAATTTTATTTACAATCAGTTTATTACCTAAATATTATCTAAGAAGGCGTTCCTAAACGTTTTTTTTTCTATTTACAGTACAAATATTTTGTAAAAAGCTAATTGATATGAAAACAAAAGACAGACGATAACAGCGCTACAAAAATACATTTCTGTAGGTTAGTTCACGATTCAACAGAAATAATTTAAGATACTAATATTAACAATTCAATTACAGATATGTATCAAGTACTTAATTTGACTAATGAATATTCAAAATATTTTATTGACTACCTAGTTAATTAACCGTTTTTGTATACAATTAATTACATACAGTATATTGCAAAATGATTTAAGGTGATATGATGATAATTATATGTACTAACAATGTTAATGCACAACACACGGGAATGTAGAGTGAGTTTTCTATTCCAATATGCTTTAGTAGGTGTTTCTACACATGAATATGAGCATCTTTTACTGTGAGCACCACGCTCAAATCTCGGAATTATCACCATTTAAAAAAAAAAAACATAAATACTCGACCATATTTCGACTTGACTTCTTTTTCATTGCCATTTTTCGAGGTTTTCACAGGGAAAGTGCTCGTTATCACAAGTAGAATAACATCTTTAAATATCCCAAAAAGGATTCAATATCTAAAATTTTTAACTCTGTTTAGTTAATGTACTCAAATGTAAAGTAGAAATAGAAAGATTGGCATCTAAGCGAAAGAGATCCTGGCTGCTAGCCTACCTAGCTGGATCAATGTAAGATGTGCAATCCAGCTCCGTTAAGGAAAGATGTTTACTGCCACTCTCTGGGTCCAAATACCGCATCAATTGAATACATGAGTTTAAAAGGGGGACATCATTTCATCATATCTCAAATAACTGAACGAAAATAAAATTCCAAAACCAAATTAGTAACAAATTACGCAATAAAACGTAATAATAATCTAACAATTAAAATTAGTTTACATTAGATTTATAATAGTCCACATTTGGATAAATTCTGAGAGCCTTGATTGCGTGTAAATCACGTTTTGTTAATAAAAGACTGAAGATAATTTATCACGTTGCTGATTTCATTAGAGAATCGAAGAGGAAGGTGAGCGAAAGTGTTAACAACATTACGCTCAATGTAGAGACGCCGGCCGAACTCCTCACTGGAACAAATAAGCTTTTGTTATCATTGGGTTAAATGGTAAGACTTTTTGGGAAAACTAATAATGCTAGCTGACGACGCTTTTAACGAAATCGTGGACTATGGTAAAGGTCAAGTGAATTCAACTTGAAACTCCGGAAACATCTTTGGAAGTTGACGTTTTGTTATTTTTATGTTCTGATATTTTTTTAGCAATGGTTCTTTTTCAACTTTGTCATTGTAGATCTTGATCTACAATGACAAAGTTGAAAAAGATATTTAACAAGTTAAATATGTACAGGTCGAACTAAATTATGGAATTGCGAAAAAGAAGAATGTATTTTGATTTATTCATTTCACAACATTGTTATTTCTTTCATTATACAATTTTCATAAATATTAAGGATGTATGTCACAATGTAATGTCACGGAAAAATAGAAGCTCATCAAATTTTGTAAGTTTTCAGTGGCTAATTAACATCGTTTACAGGTATCCTGAAAATTATGTAACATGAAACTGTTGATCCATGAAATCAATTATGGAACAAAATAATGTTTACAGTAACCTTGATATACGATTTACGTTTGACGGATAGTTTACAGATTGATAATGTCGGCTAAATTAGTTACGCGTTTTGAGTTTATCGAAATAATTATGGAATCCTGAAGATTGTAGGCTGTTGGAATTTATTGAAATGGAAACTCAACTTTGAAAGCTAATGCTATTTCGTCAAGTATATAATTCATATTTTGCTGTGGATTTTATTAATATTCATTATGTATATCCAATCGTTTCAACAACAATAATAACGCTTTGCAAGGCTAACCCGAGAGTGACGAGCTACGACAGTCCTAGCGAATTCGCTTATTACTACTAATTAGCGTCAGTAACAAATATATGATTTTATTTATATAAAAGGCCACAAAGGAGCGCTGCAACGTTCAGCGACATTCGCTACGAGCGGGTTTGCGCGAGTGTCACAACTGACAAATAAACATTTTTAAAGATATATGTATACACTAAAATTGTAACGTCCCGTACAACAAAGTACAATTTTGAAAACGAAAATTTATTATTTACATCATGTTTACGACATGACTCTCAGAATCGAACATTTATGTGACAATATTTTAAGTATATTTTCGATATAAAGGAGACAATATGATATTCATGTAATAGACATTAGCGAAATACAAATTTGATTTTCTGATAAAATACTCATCGAGATCATGGAATATTTTGTACATTAAAAGTCTATAAACGGAAATATTTAATGGGAAACATGAAGTAACAAATCAACAAAAGTTGACGGAATTGATTACTTTGTAGTAATGCTACGTGTTTATATATAAACACACGTCACAAAACACGTCAGATGCGCCCCAATTTAAAGTTATTTGTTCCGTTTAGAACATGGTTTTCACATAAGTAGTACGTAGTCAAAGTACTCAACATTTTAGTTTATATTGGATTTATTAAGCCAATGCATAATTGCGCCACTAAAGTCGGAACAAAAAGAAAGAGGGCTAGAGTTGTCCACTAAAAAAACAAAAAAATATAATAAAACACTAATGTTGTCAACAGTTCCCTTACATTTTCAATCGGAATCGGCATCGGGACTATTAGAGCGTCAATTAATAACTGTCATATCGTTTGTGCTGTAACTTGAACAGGTAAACGCATGTCCTTACTGTCGACTAGCAATATTTCAATGACGACAAGATGCAGGCGTACACATTATGCTGACGGTGCTAAGTCTCATTCATTATTGTGCACACTTAGTCTTTCTATTATTTACACAAAAATTGATCTAGAGCTTGACAGTGTTTCTCTAAGAACAAACAATTCCAGCCAGTTCGAAGGAATTTTTCTTTGTTTTCGGTCTTTGTATTGATAATTATAACAAACTAATAGAGCAATTTCATCATTGAATATCATAGGTATAGGTATTAAGAGGTAATACTTTCATAGGTATTACAATTAATTAAGCCACATATCTAGTTAGCCGCTGGTAGCTGTATACGTACTTACCTACCTGATTGAGCAAAGAAAACCTTTCATAGATTTCTTACAAATGGCGCTAAGGCAAAAATGTCGTTAAAACCAAAAATAAGGACCTGCAGCGAGCACATACAGAAATTAGTAAGGTTTGTTGACTCGTTCCGTAGCTCTGTTGGGAGAGCGAAAGCCCCGGTAAGGCGAGGTCGGTGGTTTGAATCGTGCCGGATCGAAGCAATTTTTCTTTGTGTGCGATCTTTGTATTAGTGATCTTCCTTCTCTTCTTTTGCCTGGCCTTATTCCCATTTATTTGGGGTCGGAACTTCTGGTCACTCTTCTCCAAGACGGTCTGTCCTGAGTCGTCTGTGATATTAACTGATGCTCTCGCAGGTCTTTATTAATAAGGGATATCCATATGAGGCGGGGTCTACCACGTCTCTTTAATGAGAGGTGTTTTTATGAAACTCGCCTGTTTCATTCATAAACCCTCACTCGTATTTTAACGCCTTTCATTATAAGTAACAGTCAGATAAACTACTATTAGTGTTACATATTTGTTATAGTTATAAGTCGTCACTACTAAAACTAATGTTTTTTTTATTATATCAAATAACGAACAAGTGTTAAGCGCCTGATGTGAAGCAATACACCTGTCGAAAGTAGTACCAGTGACACTCAGAATTCAAATAGGCCCTCCTATTACATACTGCCACTGCATATGTCATCTGCTTAAAATAATGTATTTAAAAAATAGACGATTTCCCACTAGCAGTTTGTATCAACTATCAAATTTAGCCACTGTAAAGAAACTCTACATCACTCAAACTGTACGCAGACAACATTGGTCTCTAAAATATGATCTAAATATTTCGAAGAGGAGAAGCAAACACATTGTGGTACAAGTACCTAAAGTAAATACAGCATTTGCAAACAGACAATTCAGCAAACGATCGGCCCATTTGTATTAAGTTAAGAATATTGATAATTGTTTAAAAAAAATTGTTTGTTTTGACGATGTTTGGAAATGTAAAAATTAAACACTAATTTAAGTATAAGTTAAAAATGTTAAGTATGCATTTATAGCTATGGAAGAGCGGTGCCTCCTGACACAGGCTTCATAAGTTTAATAGGAGGTACCATCCACTGTTAATGTAAAGTTAATTGTATTACGGAAATAAACATTTTAGTTTATTTATTTTTATTTTTATATGTCACTCTGAGACACAAGTTGACAAGTTCCATGTCTTTGTAATTTCACCAGCATCCTTACTCGTCAAAACCGGAACGCAGTAATGCTCACATTACTGCTTGGCGGCAGAAATAGGTAAGGTGACAGTACTACCCTGAACGAACTCTTTTACAAGTAGCTCTACTGCTACTAAAGTGTGTTGTAAATGTTAAGTGTGGATATTGTTATTATTTTACATTTTCATTCACTGCAGATTCGTGCAGCCTGTAAAACTATTATCTATAGCTAATAATAAAGATTGAGTTTTCTCACGTCATCATGTAAAATTCAATAACTTTGTCTTTTGTATAATAAGTTACATAAATATAATTGTGAAAATTATATGATACAGCAGTCAGTTTAAAAAAGAGATATAGTTACTGTTAATAGATGTAGATAATTTCAACTTGTTTTTATTTTATAATGTTCTCTGTCTATTTACCCAATAATGGTTGTATCACAGTGGTTTTAAATTTGCTGGTTGAAAATAGTATTATGTATGTAAGTAAGAAAAAGTTCAAATTGGCTTATAAAGTTTCTTAAGATATCATTGACTAATGGTGCAAACAGGAAGTCATACCAAAATAAATTTTGCGATTCACTATCGCCTTCAAACCAAAACGTCGGTTAGGGGTCAAGTATCTTGATATATCGAGTGTAAATATTATCATAATAATCTAACATTTGGTTACGTACTTGTCTTAAAAATTAAATGTAATAGGTAATTACGCGAAAAAGTGCTAATGGAATAAGGTTGCCTTCAAATTAGACGCTTATAGAAGCGCTGCAGTGGCGTAATGGTGAGGCGTGACACCCTCGCTTTACACCTTACTTCACTAATAATTGTTACTACAAAAGAGGCGCGCGTTACGCTAGTGTCATGATACTCTAGGAGGACGACGGGGCGGTGTGGCCCGTTTCGTCGTGAGGAGGGGAGGGGAGGACGCAGCTCCTCCCAGGTGCTGGGGGGGTTCCGGTGCGCTAAGTCGATCCCGGATCCCTCCCACTAGAGCACCCGAGAAGGCCACTGTGGTGTTTTAGCCGGTAGGGGTCTGGCATAACCTCTCCGCTGCCCCCGCGGCGGAGAGGTATCCTAGGAGGACTTCCCCACGAAAAAAAAAGTGTCACGACCGTAGTGCTGCGACTGCGCTTCAAGATATCGTATGATTATTATAATCTCAGTACAGAGTACTAAAAAACCGAACTGAAACCGACCTCTAAAGTACGTGGAATTACGTCTATTTGCCAAGTTTTTTTTTTTAAATCGGTTACCGGAAAGTGCGCAAACCAGGATTCATCCCCAAGTTCGCCACTATACGGAACTTGATACATGAGATAATAAAAATCGGTTCTCACTACACAAAGTACATTGAGAGAGAGAAAAACGCCTTGAATCAAAGAATAGCAAAATCCACCATTAAAATAATTGCTACTTATAATAAAATTTAGGCGCTATTTATAAAATGAATCTTCATGCGTGAACAGCCACTCTTAGAGGTGGATGATTTTCTTCAAAATTAAATGCGACCATTATGGAGTACCCTCTTTCCAACAAAAAAAGAATCGGTGCACAAATACCGGAGTTATCGCGTAGCATACATAAAAAAAATACAGTCGAATTGAGCCTCCTCCTTTTTTTGAAGTCGATTAAAAATAAAAAGGGGTGCGGGTGCTGCGCCATACACACGCTACTACAGCGCTTCTCTAAGCGTTCAATATGTAGGCGCCCTAAGATGCTTAAAACGAACATTGCAAAACGGGGATAAACGCCATAAAACAATTGAACGAGAATTTGCACGCCTGCCTTTATGGGAGGATAAATGGAATCCGGTATTTGTAAAAACTAAGTTTTTTCGCGCTCGACTGATTACTAGAATACGGCTTCGGTGTGGAACACGGACACCCCGTTAGTGTTGTGTGTAATGGTAGATTGAAAAATATTGTGAGTGTGGATGAAGATGCCATCGTTGAGACGTAGTCGTACACGTAATATTGCATTTCCGGTAAGCCCGGGTTAGTTTAGCAGCATTAGAACTCCTTGGGAAAGAGTTCGTCCAGGGTAGTACTGCTACCTTACCTATTTCTGCCGCCAAGCAGTAATGTCAGCATTATTGTGTTCCGGTTTTGAAGGGTAAGGATGCTGGTGAAATTACAGGCACATGGGACTTGTCAACTTATGTCTCTGGGTGACGACTCGGTGAGTGGTAGTGCCCCTCAGATCTTTGCAATTTAAAACTCTGAGTGGCACTTGAACTATTCTGGACAGGCGTGTAGAATAGTTCAAGTGCGCGACTTCGTCTTCTTTGTCCCGTCACTTGATGTTATAAAAAAATCACGATCAGTGTAATTTGATCAAAACACCGGGATAATACAGGTAGGTGCACAAATGCCTGTTAAATTGTATAATAGGGTTTATCTCCGTTTTTTAGTGGAAGTGTAATACAACGCGAATGTTTAAAAGCGTCTATATACGGTTAAATAGATTATTAATACTCGGATGCCAACAGTAACAACATTGCCACGATCTTTCTGAGCATATTCCATCATAGCTGAAGCGCTATTATACCATCCAATAGCAGGCTACATTATATCCACGCTCTCAGAGTACTGTTCCACAGATCCCTGTGGGAAGTAGCATTGTACCTCCGAATGAGCTTTAGAAGCAAATACTGCTTCGTCATTCACGTTCTAACTTTTTAATGATCGTCATACTATCTTTTGGTTAGATTTTTTATATTTAAAAATATGTGCGTATTTGATTTCCAGATGTTACCATCGTCGTCACTTTCCGTCATATTCAATTACTTGAATATGACGGAAAGTGACGATGAGGTCAAAGATAAATAATGCCTATTCACTCTCGCCTTGAAAAGGTCCAAGTTGTAGCGTTCAGGAAAAAAGTCTGCAGGCAGGGAATTCCACCCCATAGCCGTTCGCCATATAAATGTATGAAACCTTGGCATTTCCAGAACTTAGAGTAGAATCCTACCTAGCCTACGTCTGAAAAGTCTACGGAAAGGTGGAATTAAATAGTGCAACTTCCTGGCACACTTTCCGTGATATATTTTGTAGAATACCGATAAGCAGGCAGCTTCACAGCGTGCTCAAGGCTCTGCAGCTTCTTACCTACTAATCCCGAATCACATATAAATCCAAGGTAGCCAGTTAGTATTTTGCAGAACCATCCCATCACAAAACCGACCTAGACTTATTATTATTAAAAAAAATCTTTAAATTTTTACACTTGAGTGCATAAAACATGGCTTACCTAATAACATTGCTTCTTTACTTTCAGCAAGTTGACTTTTTCCTACGACAGCTTCGCTGCCTTCTCGCCACGCTGGCGTAACACGCGCTGTGCAACGCACCTCCATCGTCCCTCCTAAAGGCACGTGTAGCCCTAGTGCTGTAGACAGCAAGCCGTGAGCGTGTTGGATTGGCGGGTACTCCACCAGGAGGTTTGGGTCTGTTACCTGAAAACGAAGTAACTTTTAGTCACAATTAACGGTCATTATATAACGTGACATACAAGTATCTCGGAATACATACATAATATAGGGTCGTGGTAATTAAGAAAGGTTTTAGAACAAGAAAGATATTGTAACATTTCGCAACAGAATTCCGCTATTACTAAAACTTTTTATCACGTCGTTGCAGTTCGACATGTTGCCACCATGTGCTTCAACAAAGCGTGCCATTTATTCATCACAATTCTTTTACGTTATAGGACAATGGTAAACTCCCATATAAATTTCTGTTGACATAATTTGTATGCGTCTGCTTATGAAATATATAGATAATATAGAGTTGAAATTCCTGAACAAATTTTGTTTCGGGTTTACTATTCTGAGAAGTTAGGAATTAAAGATATTCCAATTTGAAGTTTTGGAGGCTATGTGTTCCGTATTTGGTGTATTATTATATCAAAATAAACTACAGAAGCCTTAAACAGAGTTAATAGAAGCTACCGTGGGTTTGTGACGTAATGAAAGTTCAGAGGAAATTATTTTGTATACTGGAACGGTTAAAGGCATGAAGTTAGCCCTAACAAAAAATTGAGTTAATTAATAACTACCACAGACTAGTCACTTGGATACTAATTTATTTTTTTGTGAAATGTGCCGTCTATCCCTGATTTTGGGACCTTTTTTGTCAGTTTTAGCATTTTCTCGCGTGTCATTTTTTTTTTTCATTTTTTGTAATGAAGTAGTTAATCTTTTATTCGCTTATTACAAATCGACCGAATCAGGATATTTGATATTACGTGAACTAAATGTGAACCATATCCGTACGTAGGTACTGAAATTCCTTTTTTGACAGCTAAATGTCGCCCAACGTTAAGAAACTAAGGGTCGTATTCCAGAACTCTACTCAATACTCAAGTCAGGACTTGAGTATTGCAGTGAGCACTGAAAACCATACTCAAGTCCTTGCCATTAGGGTCGTATTTCCAGTGCTCGAAATCATACTCAAGTCTGCTCAAATCCTGACTTGAGCATTGGGTAGAGTTCTGAAATACGACCCTAAGAAACTGTTAGTTGAAAATATCAGTCCGATTACATGCTAATTAGTAATTAGAGTTTCTTTTAGATATGATTTTATTTCCAGACTTAGATAGACCGCCATTATCATTTGAAAAACCTCATGAATTTATTTTATTCAAACTTGTATTTAAGACATTTGAAGATGCTAACGAATTCTTTTAAAATCATAGATTTTGTCATTGTTCTTTAGTTGTGTATATTGTATGTGGTTTGATGTTTTGCTACATTATACAACATGGACGTCTATTGGTTCTAGACGAAGAAATTGCTTCATTTGTGTACAGCGAGTCGGTGATTTCATAACAAGTTTTTTTTTGTTTATAACACGTTCATACGATTCCATTTGGGTGGTATTATATCCCAATCTAATATTCAATATCGAAACATGACCAATTCACTTATGTGTATGTTTATTAATATTTGTTTCCATTAAAGTATTAAGTAAACTGAATTGGTGGCAATGTAGCCCTATTTATATTATGGTTAGGTTAGGCTATAAGCCGTTAAATCCTAACCTTACTGTAATCTCATGTACAGCAGGCGGTTAGTATCTGTGCGACTCCACTCCCTACAGTGTTTGTGTTCTAACACACACCCACCATAATATCGATACCTCGAATGAACACAACGCCAAGTTTATTTTTAGGTCATTTCCTATTATTTTTGTAAACAGTCATATTTATTTACTAATATTAGCTCTCCGAATTTTGTGAAAAAAAAGAAACAAAACAAAATTAAAAAAAAAAAACAAAAAACGAATTTTGTGAAAAAAAGAAATAAACACAAAAAACAAAATAAAAACAGAACAGGTCCAAAAATTAAGCTGGCGTAGTGTTCATTGGAGGTATCGATATTTGACTGCCCACTGTACACATGGTCACGGTTAAGTCAACTAGGTCGTGTAGCAACGCGTAGCAATCGCGATGACTCACAGAATTTAGATTATAGTCCATGCGAAAACCTAAGTATTCGATGTTAGACATAACTGGTTAATATCTTTTCAGTCAGCCGTGCCCTGACTGATCTCATGATGACGCAAAGAACCGAAAGGTTGGTTTGTTTGAAAATAAAATAGATACAAGTTAGATCCGAAACTATAGTTTCATTTCCAATGCCGAGCAATCGCGAAAAAACAAAGACTCGATATTCTTGTATTCGGGGTTATTTAGTTAAATGCTAATAACCTCGCTGGACTATATTATATATATATCATATCATCATCATCATATCAGACGGAATACGTCCACTGCTGAACATAGGCCTCCCGCAAAGATTGCCAGACTAGCCGGTCGAATGCAACGTGCATCCACCGTTTACCCGCCGCCCTTACCAGGCCATCCGTCTACCTAGAAGGGGGCTGTCCCACTGAACGTCTTCTAGTTCGTGGTCTCCATTCGACATTTGTATTTGATAGTAAGTTGACAAGCACTCAACCTGATGACACCCACGCTCGCTCCGTTTTGCATCGGACTGCTATTTGCGCTAGCGCTTCCTTTTGTTACCGCACAGAGTTATCACTGTATAGAGCGATCTATATATATATTTTTTGTAAGATTGTAAAATCTTGTGAATTATTACAAGTCACGGAACAAAAGAGGTTGTTATGATGTCAATAATACAGTCCTGCGAGATTGTTCATATTTTACAAATAAAAGGTTGCTTGTTTTGATCATAAACGTCTCTGTTATGTGGGTTTGGCGTTCATTTAATACAACCCAGTACAAAATTAAGTTACTATTTAATAAAGGTGCAAAATTCGAGAAGTCCTAGAAATTAAAGTTTTCCAATAAGTAAAGTTGAGGTAGGTTAGTACACTTGAGAAACTTATAACAACCCGTGCTGGAAAGGGGAATTTGTTTGTTTGGAATTATAGTACCATTTAACAGAGTTGTTTAAGTTTGTTGTTATTAAAACATTCTTTTGCTTTTTTAATTTATTCCTTTATTAGGTGCCCTTGTTTTCTAGTCCAACAGTTTAAAAAATGAAAGAAATAAAGCCAAAGTCAAAGTAAAATAATAATTTATTCCATCGGTAAAAATTTGTACACTTGAAAACGTCATTTTTAAGCTACTTTTTAAACAACTGCTGTTTCACTACGCTGACCTCCCCGAGAAGAATGAGCAAGAAACTATTCAAAAGCGGTAGGACAGTTGATCCTAGCAACTATAAGCCTATTTCAATTCTACCAGCTTTAAGTAAAATATTCGAAAAGGTTATCTTGAGTCAATTACGGTCTTATTTCGGTAGGAATCACATTTTTTATAGTGAACAATATGGGTTTACTAATGGTAGATCGACTAGCGATGCGGGGGTAGCGTTACTAAAACATATATTTGATGCTTGGGAAAGGTCTCAGAACGCCATTGGGGTTTTCTGTAGCCTCTCAAAGGTATTTGATTGTGTGGACCATATTACTCTTGTAAGTTAGGAAGATAGAATATTACGGTGTAAAGGCAAGGCGTTGGAACTTGTTTCGTCATATCTTAACGGTAGAATTTACAAAGTAGACATAAATGGAGTGACTTCCTTGGATTCTCCGGTAAAAATGGGTGTTCTGCAGGGCTCAATACTTGGACCTTTCTTATTTAGGGAACCTCACATTTACCTAATGCATTTAATAGGTGCGTTGACGAAGGTATTTTTCCTGATTTAAAATTTAACATTACTACACATCGCCTAATTAATAATAATAAATATGATTTTATTATTACATTGCGAAGATACGGAAAAATAGTTATTTGTTATGCAAGGCTACAAAGTTGTTGTTTGACGCGAGTGCTTGTATTAAAACCTGAGCTAACGAAGGAAGCTATTCCAGAGCGTAGCGAGGGTTTCAAGGGACGAGAAGCAAAACAACTTTACTGCCGAGCGAAACACAACTTTCACCTCACTATAGTGAGAAAAATGGTAGATGAAAGAAAAACAATCAAACTATAAAACAAAAAGAAAAAGTTTATCTTCGGATGCGTTTTGAATTTACACACCTCACCAATTTTTATTTTTGATTGTACTTTTATTTTGTGTGATTAAGTAATTATTGAAATTATTTTAGTTTTTCAACGAATTAAAATAATTTTACAAACACAATTGACACTTTAATGTCAACAATAATAAGAATGAAATATACCAACGGATTTATATTACATAAATAAGTAATGTACGACAAGTCTCTTATTTGAACGTGTAATTTTTTTTTCATCAAAAGAAAAAGTTAGTTGCACCACAGTCCATCGTCAAGTTCGAATTTCAAAAACCTTTTCCACGCTAGCTTGTAAAAAATGCTTTTACGCGCAGATTTCTAAGGAGAAAGAAAGTTTTTCCGAGCTAGTGAGGTGAAAACAAAATTGTCGTTACCTTTGGTTATGAACTCATTATACATCCTATCCTACATCTCACGGACACGAGTGTCCTCTAAAGGTTTGGGCCATAGTTGAGTTGAGTTGGCGAAAAAGCGTGTTGGGGATTTTGCCCATTTTCAAATGGTTGTGTACCTTCTTCGAAGTATAGGTTTCATCGAATGTTGTTCTTCACCGTTAGCGAGAGGTATGGCATATAAACATTAACAAACGTGTGTGACTTAAGAGTGTATACAATCTCAAATGGCTTTAGCTGATTCCGCATAACAGTCTAAGTGTTGAATCAATCACTTTGGAAAAAAAGTAAGATTGAGCGCATATACACTGATTATTACGGTCTCATATTAGGTTGGTTGTGCAGTGAGGTAGTTGGGATGTCATCTGGTTAGCGACGTATAGGGAATCAGGAACATTTTTAGATAGTGTGTTTATTCGTTCATGGTGCAAATAGAAACGAAATAGTAATTCAGTTACATTAATCTTATGCCTACTCAACATTTCCTTCAATACGCAATCCAGAGACGTAGTGAAGAAGTTACGTTGCTTCGATAAATTACAGGTGTGAAAACACGATTCTTAAAAATTTTCACGATAGACAAAAAATACAAACTTATCGCGAAATTTTACAAGAAAACCGCTATATTCAATAGGTACTTGACAAATACCAATGATTTTTTTTGTATCAACTGAACTAAATAGGACACGTAGTATACGATATACATTTTTCAAATGGCTTTAAATAAAGCCAGTGTCCCTGAAGTTCAACCCAAGCAAAATAATAACAATAATAGTGATATCTTTATTCAAAAACATACCTTAGCCTTAAGTATAGTACAGAGAAGAAATTTGCTGATTAGAAATGTTAATAAAATAAAATAAAACAAGCAGGTAGAAAAGGCGTAACAAATCTAGGGAATCTGGCTCCTAAACTTGACAAATGTCTGTGTCTTAGGAGACATTTTTCAGTTAAGCCAAAAACGTGTGCAGTATTTAAAACCAAAACAAAGTAAAAAATTAGTCTGAGCCATTGTGGTTATACATTGATAGTTATGAGGTAAAAGATCAAAAAGAATAGGCGTAAGTACGTGTATATGTATGTTTGTGTACATTTATGTGACTGCATGAGGCGTATTAGTAAGGGAAAAATTTGAATTCGAGCTTAGATAGTATCGACTATTAAGCTGCCAACAGATGGACTGCACGTGTGCAGTTAATGCGTGTAGTCGTTGTAAAGTTTACAACCGCACATTGTAGTGTTGCTTATGTTGCGCCCTACTTTCTGCGGCCGTTTGTTTACTTGTGCACATAAGTGGGTAATCAATCAGTCGATTTAGACATTTTACATAATAACCTAACAACAACATACCAAACAATTGAGTTCTTACATTTTCTCGATTTTTAGACATGGGAAATGAAACTACTTTTACTCACATTACAGCTTGTCAGCGGAAACAGCTAAGGTAGTGGCACTACTTCCCTGGATGGACTCTTTCACAAGGAGATTTACTGTTCTGAGTCCAATGATAAACTACAAGTAACATCTTTCATTTCGACATTAACAAAGACCCCGAACTCCTGAAATGGGCGTGCGGCGATAACTGCTCAAAATCAGTGTCGATTACATGAAGTCGGTTTTCATGCAGTTGTACATATCGACTTCACGCATGCAGTACATCTAGTAGCAACCTAGACGTATTAAAGTCACAGGTACATTCCGCCACATGGATTGAACTCTTGACCTTTAAAGTGAGAAGCAACCGTTCCCCCATTGTGCTACCACAGTTCTTATAGTTTAAAAGTGCAATTTACCACATACCTTCTCCCCGTTTATGTCCCAACTAAGTATTGCAGCGGGATAGGATCGTCCCGAAGTGCAGTTCAAGAAGAGTGAGTCGCCTCTCCGATTTTCTTGTTCATTGCCCGTTATCCTTGGTCCTTCTCGAGGAAGATCTAAAAGCGAAGAAAATTAATTAATCAATCTGTACACTGAATAAAGCAGTATAATGTATAGATAACTTTTACATATTATGGTAGTTTCTTTGCATTTTAATCGATTATGGTTTCTTTTTGATTTTTTGTAAATTATTAAAGTAATAAATATTCACTGAACGTAAACTAACTTAACTAAGTAATATTCAGAATTTGTCATTCACGAGATTTAAAACGATTATGAAACAAAAACTTTAAATCTGCGTGCTTGGATGACAAACATCCATTATAGTAATCCGTTTAGTAGTCTTGACCATGTTGTGTGAAATAAAATTTGTATATTGTAAATGATAAATGTGTACTAATGTTTGTTTACAAAGGGCAATCTTATTCTTCAATTTATCTTTATTAATCTTAAAGCTTTTTGCTCATTCGTCACAGGAAAATCTGTCTTACGAATGAGAATGATGATGATGTAATTTCCTTACCATTGAAATAAATATTACTTGACTTTGACTGATGAATATTTGTACTATGGGCGCTGGATGGAGAGGTACCGAGGTGGATTTCCGGTAGGACTCATTTGGGAGACGAACTTTTCCAAATCAATTCTCGTCTGGGTATTCCGGGCAGTATCCAGAGTTGAATTCCGTTGCTCTGATACTCATAATACAGGAAATTCCCTAGTTAGAGACCAGGTAATTGGGTGAGGTTATATGATACATTATTGTTATTAATGTAATAAATACAATAAACCAACCACAGTTACAGTAAGAAATCAGTAAATGTATGACATTCAAAACATACAAAAAAGTCTTCGTGGACTGGTGTACTTACAAAATTTTATCATCTTGATGTCTCAAGTTTCGTGGGGTGCACGAAAGTAGCCTTCATGCAATGACGTACGAATCGTATTTCTAGTACGTACAGTACTTACGCCGATTGGCAAATGCTTTCACAACGATGGCAAACATATCCCAGGCACAAGGCGGCTACTTGTCGCGTGACTAAGTTCTGGGCCGCGATATTATGATGTCATCGATACGACAAGACGAAGAAGTTGACGTAGGTGTATAAAACAATTCTTCTTAAGTCTAATATCTCCGAAAATAAATCGAACACGTATTGAACACTCGTAAAATTTACAGCGCTTTTACGATCATTTGATAATTTCTGAACAAAATAAACGCAAATTTAGGGGTACGTGACAGATTCTAAAACTTTATCTCCACAAATTTGAATATTCAGTAATTTTGCTCTGAGTTTTACATTCGAGTTTAAGAGCAAAATTTTATTTTTATTATCTTCTACACGTTGTAGTCTGGCGTGAATCGTTTGTGAGTCAAAACTTTAGTAGGTAACAAAACGTGCATTCACAAAGGTACGCTTTTCACCGTAAAGCAATGTAGCTTTAGTTTAAATTCTCGGTATCTCTCCAAAGTAAATTCTAGGCAAAGGTTACTAAAGGTTATCCAAAGCCTTATGTATGTACAGAACTTCGAACGAAGACGGAGATAACGCAAAGGTATTTCTTACCTCTTGACTGTTGACACACCATATGATTATTGACAGACTTCGGCAACAATCGGATAGCGGATGGGTAATTGAGAAACGGAAATATATCTTTATCAGTCACGCAAGAAGTGGATAAATCCCCTACTACACACGTATTTCGTATTTTGAATTTGTACAAAAGTTTTTCTTTACGTTTAATGGATACGTCTTTTTGACTGATATTAATTAATTTATTTAAGATATACCAACATTTGATTACATTATACAATAACATAACATAGGAATCCCTTAAAACTGAATATAACAGTAATAGATAAATAGTTGCAAGCTTTGATAAGTAAAACTCGCTGCTCCTCATAATTTTATCACCCCAGCCGAAAGTTTTCCCCCGAGACACGAGTTGCAGTGGTTAATATGGAAATCCCCGAACCATGTCAGGTCACAAGTTGTGCAGACAACATGCTGAAATGAGAATATATTGTCAACCCGACTCAAAACCAATGTGCTTGCCGATTCCTCACACAAGTATGTTTCACTTGCTCTCGTGCCCCTGCGTTCGATCAGCTGCACCCACGAAGACCTGCTAAAGGCAACAGATAGGGGCATAGATGTGGCTGCTTCCTGGGCCAAAAACAAAAAATATTACACTTCTTTGGCATTCTATTAGTTTTTGTCATTGACTCGACAAGAAGAAGACAAATAAATACCACTTGCAATTGGTAACTGTAAAATTGTCAACACGATTTAACCTAGGAAATTGAACTATTTTTCCAGATTTAAATTGCGTATATTTGTTTTCTCAAACAAACTAACGTTTCGGGCCCTTTGCAGGTCCCATGGTCACAGTTGATTGAGGTGGTAAAGTCATAAACCAGTTATGTGTAATAATATTAATGCATACCGCCCTATTTTTTCACTATAGTTACAAAAGTTATTAATTAAATACCTTATCCAAACGCCTTATGTATGTACAGAACTTCGAATGAAGACGGAGATAACGCAAAGGTGTTTCTTACCTCTTGACTGTTGACACACCATCTGATTATTGACAGAGTTCGGCAACAATTGGATAACGGATGGGTAATTGTTACTTGTAAAGGGTCTGAAACGTTGGTTTGTTTGAAAAAAAATACGCGATTTAAATCCGGAAATATAGATTCATTTCCTGTGTGTAACAATCGTGAAAACTAAGAACTCGAAACATGATTTAACATCAAGTAAAACAGTATTAATAATTTATAACAACAACCAAAACTACAGATAAAAATATAATAACACATTTGATTTACTCCACGAAACTTCACAGTATAAGGGCGCGTTCAAATTAGCCGCGCTGCAGCAGCGCTGCAGCCGCGCGGCGGCCGCGAGACGGCCGCGCGATTGTCAATTTTTATACAATTTCTAGAAGCGCTGCAATCGCGCGGCTGGGCCGCGTGACAGTCGCGCTGCTGCAGCGCGTCTAGAATTGTATGAAAAGTGACAATCGCACGGCCGTCGCGCGGCTGCAGCGCGGGTAGAATTATATGAAAAGTGACAATCGCGCGGCTGCAACGCTGCTGCAGCGCGGCTAACAGCGGCTAATTTGGACGCACCCTAAAAGTAACTACTTACACATAAATTAATGTATGAAAAAAAAAAACAATATAATATAATTAATTAATTGGGAGTCATTATAAAGCAATGTATCCAGTTAGGTAAGTCAGACTGAATATTCAATTTGCATGATCTTGAGATGGGAGATTTAAACATGAAACAGAGTAGTTACATTCTATTGTATGTATATAGGTTGTAGTGTAACTGATTGTTCTTTGTTGTCATTCCACAACGTATTTGTAATGTATCCATATTCTCTTGAAAGTAACGTACAATTTTTACAACGAAATTCATCTTCAAAGAAATAACTACTTTGGGGGCAAAGGCTAGCAGAAATTTCTACCAAATGAAAATTGGTTTCGTAGTGAAGCAAAGTTACGAGCTCTATCAGGAAGCGCTTCAATTTACGTTCTTTGTCACGAACAAATTGGTTATACTTCCTTAACTAGAAGTCGCCGATGGGGCGGTTGAAATTATTGAATATTAATAAATCTAAAGGAGAATACGCGGTTGAATAACTCTATGATAAACTAAAATACATTCAAAATCTTTATTTCTTTTGTAAGACACGCTTGAAATAGATTGTTTAAACACTACTTACTCATTTGTAATGCAGATTCCCCTGAGAGGAATGAGTAAAACACTCAGGGCTTGCTTCGTCGTAAATAATTACTTGTTCACATTAATCATTTACACAAAAACTATTTAAAAACTACACATCTAGAAAAGAGTTCAATAAATCATTTCATGGATTTGTGGGAACTCCTAATTTCAAAATAGTTAAAAGTACTATAAATGCAAATGACAAATTTTGAATATCAACTGCAGATCGCATATTATATTGCCCCTTAAATTAAATTGTGACTTTGGATGACTGACAAGAATAGCCAGTTTGTTTTTGTTCTTTGAAATTGCGCCAATCAATACTTTTTAACCGACTTTAGAAAAGGAGGAGGTTCTCAATTCGACTGATTTTTTTTGCATGTTACTTTTTATTTGTGAACCGATTTTGATAATACTTTTTTGTTGGAAAGAGGGTATCTCAGTATTAGTATTTATTATCCCATAGACCATTTAAATTTAAAGAAAATATACCACTTCGAAGGGTGGCAAACTAGGAGATGAATCCTGTTTCGCGCACTTTCCAGTAACCGATTTCAATAAAATTTGACAAATAGATGTAATTCCAGGAACTTTTGAGGTGGGGTTTTTTTCAAAAAAAAGTTATAATTATGGATAAGAAAATACTTTTCTGGTTAACGGATATGACATTTTACTAAATGTGTCGCCAGAGTAAGGATGTTGCTTCTTTGAACTTATCTCTCAAATGAATTTTACTAGTAGTAGTAGCGCCTAAAAAAATTGCAAGTTCGTAATTGTCACGGTATATTTTTGCTCTCACAACAACAACATAAAACAAGATTTCTTACGGTCTTTAAACGTACTATTCCGAGCAACGCGACAGACGATAGATACCGACCGCAGACTTCGCTACTGCTTTATATAAAACTGTGTGGGTTCAACATAGGGAACGTAATTTTAACCCCAAAGCGAAGGTATTATGGTCTCATTTAAAAGCACGTTTATTTCTGTACAAAATTAGTAAGTATTCGAAATGTGCATGAACCAAAAACGGATCACACAATATTTTAACCTGTAGATAGGCACATTTATTTTTAACCGTGAACAAGAGTGTCTTAACTAGAAACGCAATACTGCCCAAAATTAGTTACATAATTATGCTAAAGATAGTATCTAGTTGTAATGAAGCCACCCATTGTACCCCGTATTTTATTTGTCTCTGCGTTTTCAAGAGTGTACTAAAGTATACAAGTGAAACTTACAGATAACCTCCATTCTGCCTTCTCCAGCTGCTGAAGCAAAACTAGGCGCTTCCGCTGATACTTCACAGCGGTACAAGCCTGTCGTCTTGAGTGTCACCTGGTGCAGCACCACCTTTCTGTCGTCCGATTTTTGGAGCTAAACACAAATAAAATATAATACACATTATTATACTACCCCGGTGGTGAACGATTAAGAAATCAAAGTACCTACTACATGAAGAGGGCATAAGTTCGAATTCCGGATAAACCAATTTAGGAAAGATTTTTCTAAACTTTTTCTCGTCGGGATCTACTGAGAGTGACTCCCTGGGTTGATTTCGTTACTCTGCTACAGAAAATTCTTTTGTCAGCGATCATATGTGGCTGGTTAGGTTAACTTTTTACATGTACCTAAATAAGTTTTTTGGCTCATTGAATAGAATTTTGCCTCATTAATTTGTATACTGGTATAAATTCACAGCCCGTAAAGCATGATCATTGGGAGAGTGTTTTCAAAACTCATTTATTGAAGGGTTTTAAAGAAATTGTGACATTTATTTTTAAATAACTAACTAAATAATAAATAGTTAATTTGGTTAAAGTGTAGGTACATCGAGGTTGACCTTTCCCCGCATTTGTTCTATTAAACTGTAGTGTTAAATCAGGCACAGATTACAGACATACTGCCAAACGCATAATAATAAAAACAAGCAGAGTAATTCGATACAGGCGTAGAATCGTGACTTGTATGTCGACGGTCACACACATTCGCATAATCTCGCGAGGCACTAGCGTTGCACAGTGCGGGCCATTGCACGTACCATTCGTTATAGAATTAAACCGTTCGCACGCTGTTTAAAAACGACATTAAATTGTAGGCGTATTTATTGTTATGTTTATGGTTGTTTAAACTCTCCCAAATTTAAAATTTTTCTACATTTCATTTATGTTTCATAACCATACTCCCGTAAACAAGATACTAATCTATGCTAGTATGAAAATATTAAAATGTAAGTACTGCAATTAAATAGAGTACGAAAAATTACCTTTTTTAAATGTAACCTTATTTTTTTCAATATCGTGATACAACCTCTAAGAACAAGAAAAATAATAATGTGATAACCCTACGCTCTGAGTGACGTGTAAGCACTGAGATGCCGAACAGGCAGGAGTTGAACTACTTATTTCACTTTCTATGATACACGACACAATTTATATATCGTTTAAGACAGCAGAACACAATAAGTACAACTATCATCGATATAAGAGCGATGCTACACCGGTGCTGCCGGTCCATTGTGTTGGAGCAACAACCCTGTGATTTCAACGCACCGAGTACTACATGAGCAATGTGGTATCGCAACGTAACGTCACTTACGCACGGCAGTTATACCTCTCCCCGCTTCGTCTCCTGGCCCTTTGCCCGATGCACAAATGTTTCATCGCCGCGTATCGTTTCAGAGAGCCACCACACTTATCGACACGGGATCGTATTAAACCGGTTAGAAAAATCTTTATATCCATGTAAAAATAGCGAAAATGACGTTGTGCGGTTCGCGTCGGCGATCCGAGCGGAAGCGAAACGTCATCGTCTTTTTAGGTTTTTGTGACCGTTCAAGGCGATTCCGTGTGAATAAATGTGCTGAAGTACCTCAACGCACCATGTGGCATCTTATTCTAATTTATATGTAGTACTACGCAGCGCCACCGCTGAGTCGTCGCAACGCCGATGCAACGCATCATGTGACATCGCTCGAATGTGTATCTTTTAAACGTCTAACATCACAAATTTTCAGTAATCCATTTTTTCCTTAGTTAGCAAAGACATTGTAGGAAATGTTACGCTGGTCATATACAGCGTAACATTTCCTATAATGTCTTTGCTACTACATCATCTTTCACAACACATTGCGTTCTAATCACACAGGGCTTTCTTTACGTTACGTCTCGTAGTAACACCACAAGTACACATTGACTTTGTTTTTATACTTTTTGATCCTTGTAATTTATGTTTGAAATACTTATCCTATTTTCTTAAAAAAATACTCCAAATACCTTCAAATACATTCTTACACAATTAACGTTGATAAAATTCTTTCTAGCGCCTATAAAATGCTTAAATAAAATCCTGGACCCTAGCAGTTTATAGCCGTAGATAAAATAATATTGAAAATTTTTCTTTCCCGAGTGACCAATATCCTCAATAGATGAGTGCATGCTTTGTGCTTTCGCTTCATTTCTTCATCTTTTGTCAATATTTTTCGTACGACATCCTCTATTGCTCGTCCTATATGTGCCTACTATTCATTTCATCTTGAAGTCCCGTATTTTTCTATAAACTGCTCATATAGATTGGGTCTTTCAGTATGGGAAACGCAACTATATGACCTTTATAGAACGGAGTTCCTGGAAAGAAATTCGAATTGTTTGATTTGTTGCTTACTAGCGTGATTACTGACTGTTCGGGCAAAGTAAATCATGACCAATTTAGTCCAAATGCTTATGTACATACAATCGATTCTTAGAGTTCTGTGTGTTTATGTAGTATTCGGATTGTAGGTTATGTTTAAATATTTACACAAATTTGGTAATAAGTCCATTTCTCGGACTAATTAGGAATAAGTACTTGGAAAGTTCCATTTTGCAAAGATTACCATTTTCCTCCCCGTAGTGAGGTGAAAAGTTACGTGTTTCGCTCGGCAGCCAAGTTGTTTTTCGTCTCGTACCTTGGAACCCTCCCTACGCCCAGGAATCTATTTTTGAACCACTCGCTTCGCTTGTGGTTCAATCTTAGCGTCCTTCGCTTGCTCAGCTTTCAATACAAGCACTCGCGTCAAGCAACAACTTTGCAGCCTTGCGTAACAAATAAATATTTTATAAATCATTTGTGGAGCTTTCCAAGATAAGGCGCAATCGCGGAATCCTTAGAACTCAAAAAATGCGAAAACTAAAATTTAGAGGCGAAAACATGTAAAACTGATATACCTTATTTTGTGTATAACTTTTCGCTGCTATCTACCTGATTAAATTGTTTTGAATTTAATTGAAACAAACATATTTCTGTTCAAAGATACCGCAACTCTATCATCGAGATATTTTTTCCCTAATCACTCCTGGTCGGCGCGTCGATGCCTACACGTCGTAGCATTGTCACCTTATTATTTTAGTTATATCATGGGCCGTTAAAACAAAAGAACTGGTAATTTCCACAATACAGATCGTAACTCTGAAAAATATCAAAATTCTGTCTTTTATTTAGGTGGCGCTTATATCAGTAGCCTGGAAGTAGTCTATAATTATGTAAATGGCCATGGATATAAATTAATTTCTCTTTAATATAAAGTACAAGAAATCAGTTTTTTCCTTCTTTTTCCTATTCAGATTTTGAATCATGGGATGTATTTATTTTCTGAATTTTATCAAATATGCGTGTCAATACATGGCATTGTATGTTATAAATCAATTTATTAATTATAGTTTCCTAATATGGGTAGATGGTGCTAATCCTAATCAAAATAAAAGAATAGCCGGCACCATTTTCATTTTCTTATTTTATTTTAACCTTCCAGTGGTCACACACCCTTGCGCCGAACATAAGCGTCGCGTGCGGTCTGTGAGACCGCACTGAACTTCACGAGTTCAGTTTGAGAAGACAAATGAATATTTTCATGACGTTGTGTAGCACATGATAAAAAAGTCTTTTATATTATGTAAATGAAAATAGAAAAAACATTATGTACTCATAATTTTTTTTATTTGTACTTATTAGTTGAACAGTCTATAAAAATTCAAAATTTTAGTCATATGACACAAACAACGTTAAAATCAACAAAATTTCAAAACAAACACGACCGGCCGTGAAGGGAATCTGTGACCGCAAACACAAATAAAGGCACATGTGCGCTTGCGACGAATGTCACAGGGCTATTAAGGGGAAGTACCTCATCCCCTCGAGGATATCACGGTCGCGCAACCGTTTATTGTTTATAGTTTTTGTAAAATGACTAAAATAAGGTCGCTGCGGTCTCTAACACCGCGCGCGACCGCTGGAAGGTTAATTTATTGGAAGGCCAACGACTAGCTTACAGAATAAAAATTTAAGTAATAATGGATAGCCAATTATAGGACAGCACTGATAAATTCACACACAAAACACACACACACACACACACACACACACACACACACAAACACACAAACACACACACACACACACACACACACACACACACACACACACACACACACAACACACGCAACACGCTCTTAGCCCCGCACTAGGGAAACCTTGTGTGCCTTGGACACACACATAGACAATCACAAATTACACTCAAACTCACGAGAGAAATAAATGTAGGCCATACACATATTTCTCCCGGAATCGAACCCAAGACCTCTGCGTGGCAGTCCGACATGGTAACTCTTCGGGCACTGAGGCAGTTATTATAAATATTATAAATACGCAATCATTAAGTTGATATTAATGAGCATTAAATTATAACACAGTCACTAGTTAAGTAACAATATAATATACTATGACAAATTCGCAAGTTTTATTAATTACCTACTCGCCAAAAAACAAATACTAATAAAACGCTTTATCGATGCAGCACAGGTGTCAAAAAGGTCAATATTAAACTGCTTGGACAATATGAAACTATTACTCGCTTGCAAGAGATACGCATTCCGCCGAAAGTTATACCTCCTGGTACTCCCTTAAACAACACTTTGATACGTAGTACCTTGGAATATGCATCGCCAGTCCAGACTTCCAGAATCTTTTTGGATTCCATAATCCACATTATAGAAATCATTCTGAAAGAATCGAACAGCTGCAACGTAACTTTACTCGTTTTCTGGCATATAAAGACCCCTATTGTCCCTACCGTGCTGAATATAATACTCGGCTGAAATATTTCAGAATGTGTTCTCTTGAAACCAGACGTCGAATTGCTGATATTGGAACTCTGCACAGAATGGTACATGGAGGTAAATCGTCGCCAGAGGCACTGGCCCTCAACAACATAAACGTTCCTCGTAGAGTGCCTAGGGTCCCCATTGGCAAATCGTTTGTTTTGTCTAGTAGCCGAACTAATCTCGGAAGGTATGAACAGACTCATGCAGTCATACAATGACTTGACTGTGACCAGAGACAGTGAGATAGACGTCTTTCATGTAAAAAACACTGAACAATTTATTCGCATGTACTAGCAATGTTTTTTTTTTTAATCCCTCGAATCCCGTTTAGCCATGTATTGGTATAATTTTTAATTTTAACTTTTTTGAAATTTCATACCATTATTTGTATTTCATTGGCTAACTCTAAAATTTTTAGTACTGTACACCTGTAGCAACTTGACACCTTGTGTGGCAAACGTATATATATTTATTTCTAAGACTGTTTTGTGTTAAGTTTATGGTCTATCTTTCAATAAATAAATAAAAGTTCGAAGAGGCCGGAGGTACGCACAGAAGTGAATTAAACCTAAAGGTCTTTGTAGGGGCGTTAAGAGAAATCTTCAATTCTAGGTTTGTAATCCGGCGTCGATCCTCTAACGATAAAAGATGATGTTCCTTACATGTATCAAGATACCAGTTTGACTGTTACCGCTCCCTAGTTCAAAAACATAAAAGTTAATAAATCTTCTTTGCACATTTCCAATGTATTTCATTCATTCATTCATTCATTGAGGGCTCCAGACCTGCAATGCGTATTCAAGGTGGCTGCGGACAAATATTCTATCCATAAAAATCTGTGAAGTAAGCCATCTAGTTAATTTGTTTGTTATATCTAGAAATTAGAGTAGCTTTGATAAATTGGAACTTGTCAATGTAAAACAAATCAGTAAAAAAACATTGGTATTTGGTTCTCGTCGCGACACGTGATGTACTAATCAGATAGTGTGCTAAATATCCGAATACGTTGGTCGTGGTATACTAAATACCCGAATACGTCGGTCGTGGTGTACTAAATACCCGAGAACGTTGGTCGTGGTGTACTAAATACCCGAATGCGTTAGTCGTGGTGTACTAAATACCCAAATACGCTGTCATGTATCGCGATTAGCAGTTCGCTTGAGTTATTGGTTCATGGTTGTACTTTCAAGGTGTTAACATAATTTGAAAAAATCATCATCACAGTGTTTTCGTGCTATGTTGATGTAAAATTTGTCCTCATCACTCTACCCCTTTCCGTATCCTTTATCCAGTACTTACATATTTATATTTTTATGTTAACATCTCGTATTGATATGTATGTCGGTTATGGAAGTTTGCTTATGAAATAGAAATGAAATGCCGATCTACTCTGAATTTGAAGCACTCTTGTTCAAAACACAATAATAAACAAGTCTACTATTTGATAACATTTTTTATACACCAATCGAATCGTTCATTTCTTTAATGAATGGTACATGCGATAATCGGCGCTGTGCAATGAGAGAGCCTCGCGAGATTGTGGGAATGTGGGCGTGCTCACATATATGCAAGGGTTTTAGATTTGTATGAAGTTACACTACTTATCTTATTATAAGTAGTGTGGTATTAATGAGCAGAGTCGATACAAATGCTCTTTGAGGGCGCTGTATGAACATCCCTAAGAAAGTCCCTAAATGAACTGTGAGAGAGCCTCGCGAGACTGTGGGAATGTTCATGTTGTGGCATGCTCACCGACACGCCACGCTTTTACGTTTGTATGACATTACATTACTTGTGTTATTATAGTATGATATTATTGAGCAAAGTAACAGCATACGAATGCTCTTTGAAAATGGTGTATGAACATTCCTAAAAACGTCCGTAAGGTATAAAAATGAAAAAACTTAATGGCACAAATAACAAGATAAGAAAAACCCTTATTTTCTTTTAAATTACCATTTCATTTATCCCCATCGCTTTACTCAAACGGAACTTCGGAAAAAGGTTCGTGCAAACAAAAGTATTGATAACAAACTTCAAACACTTACGTCAACTTTGATCCCATTGAGTTTGTATGTATATTTTCGGAGGCGGAAAAAAGGAACTTGGAAATATTGAATGTCTATTATGCATGGAAAGGAGCCGATTTGACAGTAGAGTTGTTTGAAGCAACATTGTTTACTCATGAACGCATGTTCGAAGAAAATTATTCTCAATAATAAAAAAATCATGTTTCCGCCAAACGACCGCGCCGTCTTGGCCCGAAAATATCCAGGAAGATAGATATTAATAATATAATTGTTTATTTTCAACTCAGTAAAATAAGATAAAAGTATCTTTTATTTTTATTTTTGCCATAAAAATTACGGTTATTCTTTAATTCGAAGTTAATATCATGGGTGACGTTGGTGCCAGTAACAAGTTTGGATATTGACATCATACTTATTATTGATTATAAAGCACTGTTATATTGTTACAATGACGTAATGTAATATGTCTTCCCCACGTACAGCCCACAGAACAATAAATACAGTAGAAGTGGTTAGTTAGCGCCCGACGCGTGCCAACATTAGGTCTCGAAAGACCTACTTGAGCTAAGTCCGCCACTTTCGCTTTGTATCGTATGATTGTGTCATTCTTCCGCACAAATTCTCTAAAATCACAGAAAAATGTCTTATTGTGCTGTGCTATTTTGGAGTGCAAAAATTACAGCCGCACCAAAAATATTATTGCCTTATTTACCTGCCTTATACATTTTTAATTTTCTGTTTTCAAACTAATTCAGACGTTAATCGTTGGTCGTAGTCCAACTACTAGCCGCAAGATGGCAGTAAGTTGAATAAAATTTTAACATGAAATCAAAACATCGTAACTTGCAATGCAGTATTGAACTTTCAACGATATAGCGACTGGGTAAAGTTAAATTATATTAACAATCCAGAATTTGTTACACCTTTTTAAATTAGAAACTATGACCAATGATTACCAAGATTTCGTAGTGTTTGTCATTTGTTTAAGCGACAACGGTTCCGATAGAAATCGAGCCTTAAGGCATTATTTCATTTTGCTTCCGTGGTACAGAGTGTGTACAGGCTGTGTCGTTAACTAGAGGTAAGACGAGTGTTGTTTGATTTTAAATCTGTCAAACATACTTCGGTTTCGACAAGATGCCGAAAGCTCAAGAATATAATATAAACACTGCTTATACCATCTCCATATCTATTAATAAAATATCTTTTTCAGACCCTACCAATGGACTGTTATTGACACCATAATAATGGACCTGCCACTTACATAATATGTCGCACTGTTATTACAATAGTGTATTAACTCCAAAAGTGTTTTTGTTCAGAATCGATGAAAAGCTAATTACACACTTCACGTGAAAAATTATTAAAATATATGTATAGGTTTTTGATTTTGATTTGATTTTGAGGTTAAATTTTATTACAGACATCTTAACAATTTTCTACTAGCCAATTTATTTAATATAAAATAATTATATAAAAATAAAAGGCAAAAAATCTCATATTTGTGAATAACGACTGTTTTTGTCTAGAGCAAGCTCACAAAACTTGTCTCATTTTGAGTTAAGTACATTTCTTTTATTTTTTACAATATTCTAACGTCGGTTTTATTGACGTGTAGCGTATCGAATTTTACGTTCAGCGGTAGTATAATCTTGAATTTCACATATTTTGAGTTACAACACTATTGTAATAGCAGTGCAATATACTACCGTCGTAGGATTCAAGAAGGTTACAAAACGCGCACAAACAACTATATCGGGAGGTACTTCTGGTGATAAACGACAACCATAACAGTTGCAGTGCCTGTCAGAGTTTCAAATCGCAAAGACCTGAGTATTGTCATTACGCCCATCACCCTAAGACACAACATTTTACTAATCACATATGCATGTACTTTCACCAGCACTCTTATCCATCAAAACCGGAACATTGTAATGTCCACATTATTGATTGGTGAAAAAATATGTAAGGTGGCAGTACTTGCTGGCTTTCACAGGGAACTCACGTAACACAGAACACATAATATTGAGCTGACAAAACGTGCCCATGTGAATAAAAAGTTATTTAATTGGAGTAGATTTGCAAAGACGCATAAATAAACTCACATACTGTTTCTTGTTATTGTAATATTAGTTACATACTCAGGTATATAGCAATAAAAAAGAACTACCTACATCAAAAGCACTTAGAATAAATACGCTTGTCTATTAAGACGACGCAAATATACACAGCGAACGATCTGTATACTTATGATCCTCACGAACGTTACAAATAAGGAGTCGTACACAACTCCGCTAAGAGACAGAGGTGATAATACCAATATGCTACATAATTATGTGTGTAAATAAAAGTAATAATGCTCACATCGACTTTGACTCCATCCAGCTTATACGCATGCTTCGGGGGATCGAACTTGGGCATGTATCGATAGAACTCCTCGTTGTCTCTGTACCATTTGACAGAATACAGGCCATCGTTATCTAGTTCGTAGTCGCATTCCAGTATAGCTACTTGTCCTCGTATCCTGTACGGGGGTACGGACACCCTGACTATACGAAGTAATAGTGATTCTGAAACAAAAAGAAAAAGTGTTAATGCTAACTTTTTTGACAAATTATGACGTAACTTTATACTTGTTGAAAAAGACGCAAAGGCGTGTAGATACTTATGTTGCATATGAGAATTATTTCACGACAATTTTGATATTTTAATATAATGTCATGAAATATTTTTTCTTTTGAAAAGAAGAAGTGTAAGTTGGAGACCCGTTCCTATAATTTAATCCTTGAATGTTTTATAAGATGAAAGCTACAAACGACATTCGGACTTGACCCATGTCAAGAGAAATTATTGCGCTGCAGACAGGAAAGATAGTTGACGCAGATATATTGGTCTTAAATAATAAAAACGTTCGCTTTTCCTTAAGCGTCATCAAAATGTTTATTTTTGTGAACACGTAGGATCAGCAACATGATAATCATTTAAAACATATAAGAAGGAATGGTCTAGGCTGGATAGAGAAGACCAAGAAGTTACATATACCAGTTCTATGTAAAGGTTAAAGTATGGGTTGTACATGAAGGTTCAATAGTGAGCATACTATGAGAAAGATATAGAGTGTAACAGAAGAATAGGAGAAAATGAAGGAAGAAAAAAGTAGAAAACACGCGTTAGACAAACAAGTTTTCACACCTGTTTGGGATGGTATCAATTCGAGCTCTTCAGTTAATTTGTAATTAATTAATTTAGCACTTAAATATGATGGTCTGAGATAACTTACAGATTTTACTAAAAAGAATACTATTCTATATACGAGCTACCGCGCGGTGTACGTCATATCGAAGGCGCTCGAAGACCGTTGGAAAACACGTGAAGTCCCCAACCCGCATTGCACCTGCTTGGTGGACTATGACCTTCTTCTTCTACTTAGAGGAGATTCGAACTGTGTGACGTAAGTAATAGGTAATTTGATGATAATTGACAAATTCAAAGTCAAAGATCATTTATTCCATAGGTAAAATAAATTTACACTTGAAAACGTCACATTTATATTACATTACATTAAGCTACTACTCATTCACTACGCTGATTTCCCTGAGAAGAATGAACAAGAAACTCTAGGGATTTCTCTTTTCGAATAAACTTAAATGCTATGGAATACACTTTGAATCAAATTTGTGTGGATTCTGGAGCCGTGTCGTCTTTCAATACATCTTTATCTAACACGTAGTCTTCAATTTTGTAATATGACTTTTCGATCAAAATATTTTTAACGTAGTTTTTAAACTTAGGAAATGATAATCTTAATATATGCTCCGGAATCTTATTGTAAAAACCTATACAGTTCCCCATAAAAGAGTCGTTTACCTTGGTTAAACGAAATCGTGGTACCATGAGTTTGGACTTAGCTCTAAGTAATTAAATCCACAATTCACAGATTTATTAACTAAAAATAACGGACAACTCACGTATTTAAGTCGAATTTTTACTCGACATGTTTCGAACCAATTCGTGGTCTTTAATCATGAGAATCGCAAAGAGAAGAATAAGCAAGAAACTTTAGGGTTGCTCTTTGTAAATAAACATTTGTAGACATTTATCATATACAAGATTTATTTCAAACATCATAGATCGAGACAACATGCAAAGCTAAACGGGACTACAGATTTCTGTCATCCAAGTAGGTACGCTGAAGGTGAATAATAAAGTAACTTATAAAGTTTTTGTTTCATCATAGTTTTAAACCTTGGGAAAGGTTTTGAATATCAACCAGAATCTTTTTATAGAAGCGTATACATTGGCCTTAACTGAATTTGTGACTTTGTGAATATTGTTAACAACAGCCAGTTTATTTTTATGCCTCGTATTAATGTGACGTTTATCACTATTCTTTATAAACAATACTATTTTTCGTAACATAACTTGCGTTTTCGTTTATTTTATATTTATAAGACTTTCTAACACATTTCCATGATTGTAGAAGAAACCAGATACTTAATACATTTATGAAATAAGTAACAACTGCCTGCTACTTCTATCGCCGATATATTTATGCGTGGTCTTCTATACCTGGATAACAGTGGATTCCAACTTGAGAGATGGATGTCAATCAATTGTTTTCAAAACACTTCTGCGTCTTGAAAGTAATCGTCGAGTATTCAAGTGTTTAAATTTTCTATTTATATTAACTTTTGTCTTTCCCAACTGAAGTACAATTTCCAAAAGTGGTTCCTTAACTTGAGTGACAGTTGTCGTTTGCTTGTGATAAATCTACCAACCAGTAATTTTAGGTAATAATGGTCAGGTAATAATAACCAGTAATGTTCAGGGTAAAACGCACATGCGAACGTGTGTGCCATTAAAAATCTGAAATAGCAAATACATAATATATCCGTATACAGAATAGGGCGGTAGGTGTAAGTTTATAACGAACCTGCTTAGCCACAAACGACGTTAGCGGAGAATTGGGAGCGAATTCAAAAAGTTTGAGCGGACTTTGGTTATGTCTGTGTTTGTGAGCCAGAAATAGGACCAAATCATCGCTTTACTTGGACGGTTTTGGTTTAGTTAAATTTTGGTCACCCGATTACGTACGTACATAGGTATATTTACGCAATTGGATTACCTCTGGAATAGGCAGAGACCTTGACCAATTTCTATTACTTCACTTACATTCATCAATCTTTTAGGTAATTTTCAGATTAATTTTCTCTACCTAATTTCGATGGCAATTTTTATAATTTAAGTAGGTATTCATTCATTTCTTCGTATATTTTTTTTTAACGAACACACTTATAGCCCCGCACTAGAGAAACCCTGTATCGCGGGTGCCACGGATACACAAATAGACAACCACAAATAACACCCAAACCCACCAGAAACATAAATGAAGGCTATACAAATATTTCTCCCAGCCCGGGAATCGAATACGAGACCTTTGCATGGCTGGCCGGAGTAGTAACCGTTCGGCACTGAGGTAGTATATTTATTATCGTGAAATATAATAATATTTCCGGATACACTTCACAAGTGACATTCGATAATTAATATTATGATAGTATTCCAGAATATTTAAATAAAAAAATTGTCACTGACTGAAATCTAACTCTTTTCATACAAGCGCTCTTATTCTTCCCACTACGCACTGCTGCTTCTTTAAGAATATCGATTGTTGTCGACAAAAGTCATTATAACTATTTACTCGTATATAACAGTCAACTATATATTATTTTATAGCGTGGATGGATTGTACATTCGGATAGTGCTTCTCAAGGTTATTTAGGTGTTATCAGTGTACCACAGTCTATTTTGACATTATGTTGGTTTGGGTGTCTCCTTGACACTCATTTTATTTGACGTCAACTATTTCATGAAATTACCATAGTTTATTAATAGTCGATACTATCTCAGTTCGAATTTAAATGTTTCCCGTACTAATACGGTTCATTTTGCTTGGCAGGGACACTGGCTTTATTTCAATTTTTTTATAAACGAACTTAAGACCATTTGAAAAATATATATCGCATACTATACGTGTTCTATTTAGTTCAGTTAATATAAAAAAATTGGTATTTGTGAAGTGACTTGAAGATTTTGTTGTAAAATTTGGGGGTAAGTTTGTGATTTTTTTCCATTGTGAAAATGTTTAGGAATCGTGTTTTCACACCATATAGTATAGTGTGTGACCAGTGTATGTCCTCAATTTTACTATATATTTTTCCTAAGTGATTGATTAAATACTTTAACTGTTTCAAATTAAAATAAAATGACATTTAATGATGATATGAAATATCACTCTATATAACATTGCAAGTATGACTATCAGTTTGCATTTCAAAATAGCGAAAATAGGTATCTTTCTATGATATTCGAGATTTTTCGCGAGATAATTGACATGACCATAACATACAAAGAAAATGGCTGACTGTGCTTAAACTGTGGAACTTTGCGCGTCTTTACACGTATAACGAAAACAAAGCATTTCTACTGTATTTATTCTATTTATATGTACTATGATATGACTCACTTTCTGAATAAAGTGTAAAAAAAAGTTTAAAGTAATGCACCATTTAAAGCTTTTGTTGAAATCGGAAACGTAAGTTTAACAATTCGTAAGAACGGAAGAAACTAATTAACATACCTACAACTTGTTCAAAGGCGTAGAAACTGCGGACTACTGAGCCTGGCTTAGTTCCAAAGATGCCGGTTGCCCTACTTAAAACAAGAGTGTAGCATTTAAATATCTACATATAGTCTGTGTTAACTAATGAGGATGACTAACTAAGGCTGATGTTCCAGAGCTAACAATATTGTCACTGTTTATGACTATGTATAATTGTAACGAAAGTATAACATAATTGGTTAAAAATTGGCAGATAATTGAAAAAAATCGTATAATAGGCAATGATCTAGTGGTAGTGCTTATTTCCCACTTTATTGTATAAGGACATATTAGAGTCTTATTATTCCTCACTGAGAAAACTCAAGCTAAATAAATGAATATTAAATAATGGACCTGATCCCAAAGTAACTAAAGCACTTGAGTTATGAAAATCGGAAACAACGACGGTACCACAAACACCCAGACCCGAGATAATATAGAAAAGTTAGTTTTTATGCTTAAACCCAGCCTGGAATCGACCCCAGGACCTCAAGATGGCGACACCATGCAAACCGCTGTGCAAGCCACTAGATTACGGAGGTCGTCAATCACTAGTAAAAACGGAAAGGGTGCGTACAAATCTGGCGAATGTGCCGCAAATGCGCCTGTTTGCGAGAGCATTACGTTGCGCATGTGCAGCGTTCGCGGCGCATTCGCCAGATCGGTACGCACCCTTACAAATATTGAAAAAGCCGTGGTAGCTTTTCGCATCTCAAGCAGAAGGTCAAGCATTATAATCCGGGCTTATAACTCTGAGTTTTTCCGAATATATGTGCGAAATTTAATTTGAAATTTACTAAGGTAACGTCGTAAGGAATCCTGCACACATCTATCCAAACCCTCTCGTCGTGGGAGGAGGCTTGTGCCCAGCAGTGGTACTATATATGTAGGCTAACTATTTATTACAAT